GGAAGTAAATAATAAAGATAAAAACAGAAATAAATGAAACTGAAAACATAAAAATAATAGAAACAATAAAACAAAGGACTGATTCTTTGGAAAAAGTAATAAAATTAACAACCTTCTAGCAAGACTGACCAATGAGAGAGAAGATACAAATTATCAACATCAGGAATGACAAAAAGGACCTTACTATAGACCATGTAAACATAAAAAGGAAAATAAGTGAATACCACAAACAACTCTACACACATAAATTTGACAACTTAGATAAAATGGACTAATTCCTTGAAAAACACAAACTACTAAAACTCACCCAATATGAAATAGATAATTTGAATATCTCTATATCATGAAGAGATTTGAATTTGTAATTTTAAAACTCCCCAAAAGAAATCTCCAGGCTCAGATGGTTTCACAGAGAATTGTACCAAATGTTTAAAGGAAATGAAGACAATCTACACAACATCTTCCAGAAAATAAAAGAGGACAGATACTTCCCAATTTATTTTATGAAGCTAGTATTACCCTAAAAACCAAAGAAGGACAAAAAAAAAAAAAAAAAAAAAAAAAAAAAAAAATCCCCCAAAATTTTTTTTAAAAAAAAAATAAACCAAAAAAACAAAAAAAAAAAAAAAAAAAAAAAAAAAAAACTATAGACCAATATCTCTCATAAACTTAGTTGTAAAAATTCTCAACAAAATACTAGCAAACCAAATACAACAATGTAAAAAAAGAATTACAGCACAACCAAATAGGATTTATTCCAGCTATGCAAGGTTAGTCATTATTCAAGAGTCAGTCCAAAAAATCAATCAATGCAATCTACCACATTAACAGGCCAAAGAAGAAAAATAACAAGATCATAGCAATCATTGCAAAAAAAGCTTTTGACAAGATTCAACATCCTTCATAATAAAAACTCTCAGGAAAACAGGAATAGAGGAAAACTCCCTCAACTTGATAAAGATCATCTACAAAAAACCTACAATTAACTGTATACTTAACAGTGAAAGACTGAATGCTTTCCCCGTAAGATTAGAAAAAGGCAAGGATGTCTGCTCTTACTACTCTTATTCAACGTAGTACTGGAAGTTATATTCAGTGCAAAAAAGGCAAAACAAGGGAATTAAATGCATACCCATCAAAAAGGAAGAAAATAGAATTGTCCCTATTTGCAGATGACAAGATCGTCTAAGGAATCTACAAAAAACTCTTAGGACTAATAAGTGAATTCAGCAAGGATTGCAGGATGCAAGATAAACATATGAAAAATCACTTGCATTTCTTTATATTTGCAATGAACATATGGACACAGAAATTAAAAGTACAATACCATTTAGAATCACTCAAAAAAGGGAAATACTTAGGCAGAAATCTAACAAAACACATATAGATTTGTATGCTGAAAACTACAAAATGCTGATGAAGGAATTTAAAGAAGATCTAAATAAATGGTGAGATGTACCATGTTCATGGACTGGAAGGCCCAATGTAGCAAATATGTCAATTTTCCCCAAATTGATATATAAGTTTAATGCAATTTTTATAAAAAATCTCATCAAGATTTTTTTAGACATAGACCAGATTATTCTAAAATGTATATGAAAAGGCAAATAATGAAACCATTTTGCAATAACTAAAACAATTTTGGAAAGAGAAAGAATAAAGTAGGAAGAATCAGATTGATTTTAAGCCTTATTATATAGTTACAGCAATCAAGAATATGCGGTATTGGTGGAGGGAAAGGCACACAAATCAATGGAAGAGAACCTTGAAATTGGCCCACAAAAGTATGCCCAACTGATTTTTGACAAAGCTGTAAAAGCAATTAAATTAGGAAACATAGCCTTTTGAACAAATAGTGCTGAAGCAATGGGGACATCCATCTATAGGCAACACACACACACACACAACCTGCAAAAAAACAAAACAAAACAAAAAACTCCAAAGTTTCAAAACTTAGGGAAAAAGAGGAGAAAATCTTCAGTACTTAGGGCTAGGCAAACACTTCTTAGACCAGTAAGATCCATAAAAGGAAAAGTGGATAAATTTGACTTTATCACAACTATAAACTTTTGCTCTGCAAAAGACCCTGTTAAGAGGATGAAAGTACAGGCCATAGAGTGAGAGAAACTATTTACAAACCATATATCTGATAAAGAACTAGTATTTAGAATATACAAAGAACTATCAAAACACAACAGTAAAAAAATGACAATCAGGGGGCTTCCCTGGTGGCGCAGTGGTTGAGAGTCCGCCTGCCGATGCAGGGGACACGGGTTCGTGCCCCTGTCCGGGAAGATCCCACATGCCACGGAGCAGCTAGGCACGTGAGCCATGGCCGCTGAGCCTGCGCGTCCGGAGCCTGTGCTCTGCAACCTGAGAGGCCCACGTACCGCAAAAAAAAAAAAAAAAAGAATGACAATCAGTTAGAAAATGGGCACAAAGCATGAACAGATATTTCATTGAAGAGGATATACAGATGGAAAACAAGCATATAAGATGTTCGACACCATTAGCCTTCAGGGAAATACAAATTAAAATCACAATGAAATACAACTATACACCTATCACAATGTCTAAAATAAGAAATAGTGGTAATGCAAATGTTGGCAAGGATGCAGAGAAACTACATCATTCATATATATATTGCTGGTGGGAATGTAAAATGGTACAGCTACTCCGGAGAGCAGTTTGGCAGTTTCTTGAAAAACTAAACATGCAGCTACCATGTGATCCAGTAATTACACTCTTGGGCACTTATTCCAGAGAAATGAAAACTCATGTTCACATTAAAAACTTTTACATGAATATTTGTAGCAGCTTTATTCAGAATATCTGAAAACTGGAAATAACCTAGCTATTCTTCAATGGATGAGTGGTTAAACAAGCTATGGTACATCCATATCATGGAATACTACTCATCAATAAAAAGAAATGAATATTGATACATGCAACAACCCAGATGAGTCTCTAGAAAATTATGCTGAGTGGAAAAAAAAAGCCAGTTCCCAAAGTTTACATACCGTATGATGCTATTTATATAACACAGATAATTGTTTGCTGGGAGTTAAGTAGTGGTGTAGATATAAGAGAGCAACAGGAGAGATCCTTATGGTGATCGAAATGTTCTGTATCTTGACTGTATCGATTTCCATATCCCAACTGTGACATTGGCAAGACATTATCTTTGAGGGAATCTGGGTAAAGGGTACACAGGATCTCTCTGTATTATTCTTTACAATTGCATATGAATCTACCATTTTCTCAAAATAAAAAATTTAATTAAAATATTACCTGTGTGTGGCTTCCCTGGTGGCGCAGTGGTTGAGAGTCCGCCTGCCGATGCAGGCGACACGGGTTCGTGCCCCAGTCCGGGAAGATACCACATGCCGCGGAGCGGCTGGGCCCGTGAGCCATGGCCGCTGAGCCTGCGCGTCCGGAGCCTGTCCTCTGCAACGGGAGAGGCCACAACAGTGAGAGGGCCGCGTACCGCAAACAAAAATAATAATAAAATAAAATATTACCTGTGTGGTTTCTCTGTCATCTAAATCCTGATTGATGCAATACACTTCATCAGATTGGAGAATTTCTCTTCTCTTCCTAGTTTGATGAGAATTTTAGAGTAGGTGTTGATTTTTACCAACTGCTTCTTATGCATTTATTGAAAATAATCTCATGGTTTTTCTCCTTTTCGGTGAAAATTATATTGTTTGATTTTAGAATGTTAAGACAATTTTGCATTCCTGGGATAAACAATACTTTATTGCTGGATAAATTTGCTAATATTGGCTTAGGATTTTATGTCTACATTTATGAAATGTCTTTCAGGTACCTATGGGAGTGATCAATGTTATTAGTTTCTAAAATTAAAATTAAAAAGCTAAAATTTAAAAAGACCTGAGCAAAAGTAATAAAATATTAAAATTTGATAAGCCTGGATGGTGGGTAAATGGTAATTTGTTACATTATTCTCTATACTTCTCTGCTTTCTTCTTTTCAATTAAACAATCCTTGGTTGCAGCTTAGAAGACACATTCAGAGGATAGATTGAGGACATAAAAACTGGGTTCTGTTTGCTATTAGGAATACAGGGGTAGGATAGTCGTGTGTAACCTCTTCACATAGCAATGGGTCAAACACATAGTTGGTACTCAGTAAAAGTTTATTAAATGAACTTAGATTTGTTTAAATCACACTCCAATACAACCTAATGGATGCTGTGATCCAGATCCATCCTCAGGATCTAGTCAGTCATTCCCCCAGCTTCTGGGAGTAGGTTGCTCATGGCTCAATTTCTCTCTGGGAATTGCCCTCCTCCAAAGGAAGCAGCCTTGCCAAAAGTTACAGGACCTGTTCACATACAGCCTCCATCACTGGTCAATGCAAGGACATAAATTTCTGGCCCCCTTCTTTAATTTGGAATAATTCTGAAAGGTCATCCCAGGCTCAGAGCATTCTTTGGGATTGGCTGAGGCTTCTGCTTAGATAGTTTCACAATTCAACCTCTCCTTCTGCCTAATCCTGCTTCCATCACTCCCTTACAGGCTTGGCCTTGAAAGTACCTTCACCCCATCCCCACCCCAATAAACCTCCTGCATGTTAATCTCCCTCTTCCTCGGGGAACTCCACTCAGGACACGTATTACCCTATTTTACTGTTCTTTTCATAGCAGTTATCAGTATTTGAAATAACCTTGTTTCTTTAACGCTTTAATACTTGCTTATTGCCTGCTGTAAGAATGTGAGCTTCCCAGGACAGACCTTTTTCTTTTTCCATACAATGTACACTACTGTATCAAGCACCTAGGGCAGGGCCTGCAGAACACAAGCAGGCCCTAAATACTGGTTGTTGGAATGAACGAATGAAAAGAGACACACCTTGCCCTAGGTATCGTAGTCTCTCAACAGCCAGCAACGAGCACTTGAGGGCGGAGACTCCGGACAAGTCCCCGAGTCCCCGCCCTTCCCAGCACGCCCCCAGGCCCAGGCAGGAGGCGGGGCCCCGCAGACGTCGCGGCCCGCGCAATGCGGCAACCGGCGGTACGGCTGCTGCGGCTGAGTCAGGTGCCGTATGCCGAGCTGCTGGCGCTGCAGGAGCGCTGGCTGCGGCGGCTGCAGGCCGAGCCAGGGACCGAGGCGGGCGCGCTCCTGCTCTGCGAGCCCGCGGGGCCCGTGTACACCGCCGGACTGCGCGGCGGCCTGACGTCCGAGGAGGCGACGCGGCTGCGGGCCTTGGGTGCCGATGTGCGCGCCATTGGCCGCGGCGGCCTAGCCACCTTCCACGGCCCGGGCCAGCTGCTCTGCCACCCCGTACTCGACCTGCGACCCCTTGGCCTGCGCCTGCGCGCCCACGTGGCGGCGCTGGAGGCGTGCGCCGTGCGCCTGTGCGAGCTCCAGGGCCTACCAGGTGCCCGCGCGCGGCCCCCACCCTACACCGGCGTCTGGCTGGGCGAGCGCAAGATCTGCGCAATCGGTGAGCGCCTCGGGGCGGAGCCTGGCGGGGCCGGACCAATGGTGGTGAGGGCAGAGCCCCGGCTGGGAGGAGGTGTGTCTGGCGCGGGCTTTGAATCAGAACTAGTCCTGGATGTAATGTATCTTTCTTCCTCTGAATGATTTTTTTCCCTTTTTAAAAAAAAATTGTGGTAAAATACACATAATATAAAATGTACCATCTTAACCATTTTAAAGTGTACAGTTCAGTAGTGTTAAGTGTTTCCAATTGTTATGCAACCAATCTCCAGAACTCTTCATCTCTCAAAATTCAAACTCCACTTTTTTTTTTTTTTTGTGGTACGCGGGCCTCTCACCGCTGTGGCCCCTCCCGTTGCAGAGCACAGGCTCCGGACGCGCAGGCTTAGCGGCCATGGCTCACGGGCCCAGCCGCTCTGCGGCATATAGGATTTTCCCAGACCAGGGCACGAACCCGTGTCCCCTGCATCGGCAGGCGGACTCTCAACCACTGCGCCACCAGGGAAGCCCTAAACTCCACGTTTAAACAACTGCCCATTTCACCTTCCCCCTAGCCCCTGACAACCTCCATTCTACTTTTATCTGTATGAATTTGACTTCTCTAGGTAACTCATTTAAATGGAATCATACAGTAATTGTCATTTTGTGACTGGATTATTTCACTTAGCATAATGTCCTCAAGGTTAATCTATGTTGTAGTGTTTGTCAGGATTTTCTTCCTTTTTAAGGCTTAATAAATATCTCATTACATGTAAAAACAAATAAACAAAGTTTTTAACCCTCTTCACTGAAATATTCAGAACCAGAAGGGCTCTCAGAGGCCAACTCGTTCAACACTCATTTTTACCAATGGAGAAGTGAATTGCCAGGGTACTTCACAGTATCAGGACAATAAGGGTGAAATCGTTTTTTCAAACTTTTTTTTAAGCAACGGAGGAATCTCTTTGTTAAAGGATATTTTCTGTAATCTCCATAATAAGTGCAGCTACTGTGGAGCGACACACCTCTCCTCCCATTTTGTCCCCCTCCCCTGATCTGTGCACAGCCCCTTGGGTGCTCTAGAAACGAAGTTGGAAAGTCAGTGGTCTAGTCCAGTTTCCTCATCACACTGAGGGGGATCATGAAGCCTGGGGAGGGAGGGTACCTATTCTAAGACCCATTGGTTTGTCTTGCAGGAGTCCGCTGTGGAAGGCACATTACATCTCACGGCCTGGCGCTGAACTGTTCTACGGACCTCACGTGGTTTGAGCACATTGTGCCCTGTGGGCTGGTTGGGACAGGTGTCACTTCCCTGAGTAAGGAGCTCCAGAGGCATGTCACTGTGGATGAAGTAATACCACATTTCCTTGAGGCCTTTAAAGAGACCTACAAGTGCACATTGATCTCAGAGGACAGCCCCAGCTGAAGGGCATTTATATTATCACAGCCTGGAGGTCCTGCCTTGGAAAGCACCACACCTGACTTGGAGTCACTGAAACCCAGATTCTAGATCCAGCCCTGTCATTCACACACCATGAGACTATGGGCAAATCATGAGCTCTGAGCCATTGGTTCCATATGTATCCTGGTTTATTTATATCTTCCCCACCTACCTCAGATATAGATGTGAAAATATTATGAAAAGCATGCTGTATAAATTTAAGGCATTAGCACTACCATTGACACCATTTTCTCAGCTTAGAAAAACTCAGATATCATAGAGTGTCATTTCTCAAATATTTATTATTTCCTCAATACTGTATTCAACTGGGGAAGCCTGGGCTCCAGTTCCTTTGATTTTTGTAAGAAACATTTCTCTGGATCATCCAGGTGAAGGTGATGTGATGTGGTGCTTTTTCATTCTTAGGTGAGCTGAGTGCTTTCTGCAATAAAAGGGAAAGGGAGGGGCTTCCCTGGTGGCGCAGTGGTTGAGAGTCCGCCTGCCGATGCAGGGGACACGGGTTCGTGCCCTGGTCCGGGAAGATCCCACATGCTGCGGAGCGGCTGGGCCTGTGAGCCATGGCCGCTGAGCTTGTGCGTCCGGAGCCTGTGCTCCGCAACGGGAGAGGCCACAACAGTAAGAGGCCCGCGTACCGCAAAAAAATAAATAAATAAAAAAAATAAAGGGGAAGGGAAAGGCCTCTTTAAAGAATAAAATGGGATTCTGTGTTCCTGGGTTGGATTCCTCAAGCCTGATAGCTATTTTTAGTTAGGTAACCTGAGCTAGGCCAGAGGCTAGGGGGAAGAGAAGAATAATTTCTCACACTGTACAAATGCCAAAGATAGAAGTAAGTTTTTCTTATACGAGATCTCTGTTTGTAAGGTTCTATAGTAATTATCTATTGCTGTGTAACAAATCACCCCAAAACTTAATGACTTAAAAGAATAAACATTTATTATCTCGTATATTGTGGGTCAGGAATTCGGGAGAAGCTTAGTTGGGTGGTTCTGGTCAGGGTGTCTCAGGTACAATCAAGATGTCAGCTGGGGCAGCTCTCATCTGAAGGTTTGACTGGGGCTGGAGAATCAGCTTCCAAGATGATTCACTCACATGCTTGGTTGGTACTAGTTGTTAAAAGGAGGCCTTAATTCCTCACCTTAGTTCCTCATCATTCCACAGGGCTGCTTGAATGTTCTCATGACCTGGCAACTGGCTTCCCCCAGAGCAAGTGATGCCAGAAAGAGACAAGGTGGAAGCCACAATGTCTTTTATGACCCAGCATTGGAAGTCACACAGTCATTTCTGCAGTCTCTTAATATGTGAGCCCTATTCAGTATGGAAGAGACTGCACGAGGGTGATAGGAGGTGAGGATCATTAAGGGTCATCTTGGAGACTGACTACCACAGGCAGTTAGAATAGAAAGAACCTTGAATGAGAAGTCAGGCAACTCTAGTTCCAGTCCTGGCTCTGTGGAACAGTAACCAACAACATTCAAGATGGCGGTTGCTTCCTGAGGGACTGCAATGAGCAGAGCTCCCTGCTGCTGATGGACATGTGGTGGAGTTCTGCCACCAAAATGTGAGGGTTGTTCATTACCACAGCATAACTAGCTTATGCTGACGGATAAAATATGTTTATATTAATTAGGACTCTTGTATTTGCAAGTGTAGAAACCCAACTCAAACTAACTTAAGCAAAAACAAACAATCAAACAAACCCCACAATGGGAGGGTTATTGGAAAAGGTACTGAGAGGGTCTCATAAAATCCAAGGGTGGGGCTGCAGCTGGGCTCCAGAACAGAACCAGAGCATGTAGCCCTTTAGGAACCCACATGGTCTTTTCTCTCCTGTTCTCTGCCGTGAGTCTTGGTGTGTTTGCTTCATTCTATCTTACTTCAGTCCAGCTTTCTTTGTTTCCCAGGCCATGTAGTGGAAGATGGCTACTGCTGCTGTTATCCATGAATGTTGCAGTAGAGTCAAGGAAAATCCCCAGGTTTCTGGCTTGAGCAAGTGGGTGGATGCTAGAGGTATTGCTGGGATAGAGAACTCTGGATAATGACCAAGTTTGGAGAGAATAATAATGAGTTCAGTTTTAGGTAAATCAGGTTTGAGATACTTGTGGAAGATGTAGGTGGAGAAGGCCAGTTGGGTGTTTGAATCTGGAGCATGGCTGTGATGAGCGATGGTTTCGGTCTGGGAGTCCAAAGAGAAGGGGAGGGCAGAGGACTGATAAATGTGAGGCACGGGCCAAGGAGGAGCAGGCCAAGGAGACTGAGAAGCAGTCTAGGCAGAGACATAGTGTGGGACCCAGAATGAGACAACACGACGATCTCATTCACTCTTCTGGCAGCACAGCAAGATAGGTAGGCTTATTTTATGGATGAAAAAACTGAGGCCTGGGAGGCTAAGTGAGTTATTTGAGGTCATGCACTTAGTTAGGTGCAGAGTCAGTCCCTGGCTCCTAATCTGGGCTCTTTTCCACTCTTCCACAGCTGCCTCTGAAGGGTGAGCAGGGCAGGTATCCTGGAGAGACATGCCTCCAAGAACAGGTGGGTCGACAGAGCTGAGGAGGACGCAGGGCAGAAGGCCAGATTTAGGCTGAGGCTGGACGTGTGGAATTGGCTCAGGCCACTGCTGTGGGTTCCTGACTCTCCTTCCTTTCTGGACAGAGCCCACCTACGCTTTCCCACTGGGGCCCTTCCTCAAGGAAGGAAGCTGAGTGTACGAAAGAGGATAGTTAACACCCTGGCTTTTCCACCTCCAGAAAGCCTCTTCTTGTTTATGAGAAGTCTTTTCCTCATAAATAAACAAATTGTCCAAGGTCTGGTGAATGAGTGCTAAGTGTGAGGACGTGACCAACTGCAGTGACTGGCCCAGCATCTTGTTCCTTTGGCAGGAAACCAAACAGAACCTGCTCTGACAGTGTGACCAGGTGCACCTTGCTTCATGAAAAAAGCCTCTGACTGAAAACCTTCATGGAAATCAGATATTTGCAATCAAAATCTAATTTTTTCACTAAATTGTAATTTACCTTACCTATTATCATACCATATTATAATAACTATAAAGTTTTAACAAACAACAACACTTGCACTCCCACCTAAAAAAACATTCTTTTCATTTGTGTGTTTCCAGCACTTGATTATGAGCAGACATCTTTTATTATTCTATTCTATTCTGTTTTATAATCCTATTATGAATTATTATGTGGATAAAATTATGTATACTATTTTAAACCATAGTATTACAGAGATTTTCCCACATTGCTAGATAGTCTTTATATTTTTAACATTTAATCTTGTTTTTATTTCTTTTAAAACTTAGATCTTTTAAAAAAATATAGGCAATGCATACACATGGAATAAAATTTAAAAGGTACAAAATGCTACCATTGTAATGTAAGTCTTATTCCTATCCCTTTCCCCTGTAAACCCAGTCCCTTTCCTGGAAGACTAAATGATGGTAAATGTCTTATTTATATTCTTCATAGATATTTTGTATATATATATAAGCGTACATTCTTTTTCATATAGTAGCATACTATACACACATCCCTTCACTTTGTAAGATTGTTTCAGGTCAGTATATAAAGAACATCCTCATTTTTAAAAACGGCTGTGGAGTCATCCTCATTTTTCGAAACAGCTGTGGAGTATTGCGTTCAGTGGATTTACCATGACTTATTTAGCTAGCCCCCTATTGAGGATGTTTAGGTTATTACTAATCTTTTTCTTTTACAAATAAGGCTGCAGTGAGGATCCCTGTATAAATGTGCATGTGTGTCTGTGTGTGTGTCTGCATATTGTATCACACACGGTGAGCACAGAGTTTGCGTTTCTAGAAGTGATTTTCTGAGTCAAAGGACATGTGCATTTTTATTTTAATAGATATTATCATTGCCTTTCATAAAACATACCGATTTATATTCCCATTGGCAATGTACAATGCCTGAATTTTAAATGTTCTAGCATCTTAGATTTTTCTTCATCTTTGAAGCTTTTTATTATAAAATCTTTCAAACATACAACAAACCCCATGAACCCCATGTACGCATAACGCAGGTAAAACAATCAACTCATGGCCATTCTTAGTTTATCTAAACCAGTGCCTATTTCCTGCCTCCTCCCTGGATTGTTATGAAGCAAATCACAGGTACCGTATTATTTCATGCATAAGTATTTCAGTATGTATTCCCAAAAGATAAGGACTCTTAAAAAAAAATAACCACAGTATGTCATTAACACATATAAAAAATACTTATTCAATATCAACAAATATTCAGTTAATATTCAGATTTCTTTCTTTCTCCCTCCTCCCCCGCTCCCTCCCTCCCTCCGTCCTTCCTTCCTTCCTGTAGTTGGTTTGTTCAAACCAGGATTCAAACAAGGTCTACACACTGAATTTGGCTCATATGTCTCATAAATGTCTCTTTTCACCTACAGTTCCCCCGCCATCTTTTTTATCTTTTTCTCCTGCGTTTCCTGAAGGTTAAAAAGTAGATCCTGACAATTGGCATGATTCAGGTATGATTTTTTTTAGCACATCTGCTTTGTAGGTGATGGTGTGTTCTTACATCAAGTAGCAATGTAGTATCTGTTTGGGGGGTTTTTTTTCCTCTTTTTTTTTGTGATGACTGTGCCCTAGATTCATTATTTTATTAGGGGTTTGCAAGATGTGATACTCCGATTCTATCATTCCTTCTTCACTTACCAGCTGGAATACGTCTATAGACCTGGCAGGCTGAGTGCAAAAGAACTCAACATGTCCGGTAGCATTAGTGTTATTAGCATTTTATTAGATTTTTAGTTTTGTTCATTTTCATTAAAATTTGTATTGAATAAATACTATGTAAAAGATTTGCCTTTACAGTTGCATTGGAGTTTAAACTGAGTTTAAATTTGAACATATTTAGGTTATCAGCACTGAGTACCTCAATGATTTTTTTTCCGTTAAAAGGGGTTCCTAAATCATTCAAGTTCATGAGACACTGGTATAAGGCTATAGTGTTACATTTTTTCAATTTACCTAAGCTGTGAGCTTTTCTAAGCCAGAGACTGTTTCTTTGTTTTGTTTGTTTGTATCCTAGCATGTGAAAGGAAACAGTGGTTCAATGACTGTTATTATGAGGAATTCCCTGTAGCTTTGGTCCTTTTGTTGACAGACATCAGTATCCAGTCTGTGAAGTGGTCATCCCAGCCCTGCTCACACAGCTCCAGACGTGGAGCATTCTTCATAATTCTGATTGTTACAAAGTTGTTCCTCATCCCAAACTGAAACCTGCCCTCAACAGTGTCATAATTCTGCCCTCCTGTAAGTCCTCCTCTGAGAGGTCTTCCCTGGCCACACTGTGCATCCCCCTCGGGTGGCAGTGGCCCCTATAATGTAGTTACTTATTTCCATGTCTGACCCCGTCCAGACTGTGAGCTCCCCAGGCAGGGACTATAGCTGTATCACCCATGGCCCTCTCAGGACCAGCCCAGGGCCTCACACAGAGGTGCCCAGAAATGGCCTGTTGAGTCAGCAAATGAATTCTATCCTAGGAGCGGGCTCTTCTTCAACTTAAACTTTCCTGATTCTTCTGTTCTTCATAAAATATGGCTTCCAGATTTTGCCCCCACTGCCCTCATCTCAACAGGTTCCAATTGGCTAACATGGCCTTAACCTGTGTTGCTTGAAGATAACATGCCTAGTGCGGTCCGGCCAGTGTTGGGGAAGCTAGTAAAATAGTCTTGTTCAGGCTTCAGAGGCAACAATAGGCCTTTGACTAAAAAAGACCCTGGGGCTTCCCTGGTGATGCAGTGGTTGAGAATCTGCCTGCTAATGCAGGGGACACGGGTTCGAGCCCTGGTCTGGGAGGATCCCACATGCCGCGGAGCAACTAGGTCCGTGAGCCACAATTACTGAGCCTGCGCATCTGGAGCCTGTGCTCCGCAACAAAAGAGGTCGCGATAGTGAGAGGCCCGGACACCACGATGAAGAGTGGTCCCCGCTTGCCACAACTAGAGAAAGCCCTCGCACAGAGATGAAGACCCAACACAGCCAAAATAAATTACCAAAAAGACCCTGAAAGAGCTACATGCTGAACTGCTAGACTACATGCAGGTCAGCAGAAACGGTGCTAGCAAGTCTTGGGAATCTGGCCAGTTCCTGGGGATCAGCGAACATTCTGAGACTTACAACTAAAGTATCAAAGCATTTGCAATAACAGCCAGAGCTGCATATCTTCACACAAGCTGATGATCCTCAGTTTGCAGCTTGGCGTTAAAAGCAGGACTCCTTTAGGCACATTCTGCAGTCTCACCCGTGGGGTGAACACACCGCCTGGGACCTTCCCAGTTGGGACTCCAGGTTGCTGTGCAAGGGACTTCCCAGCTGCTGCTTGGATCTGGAAGTAGGTGTCGGCCCAATTCGGTGATGTATGCTCTGTTATATACTCTGTTAATATTCTTACTCCTTTTCCTCTAATGATTGTATATTGAAATTTATATACTCTGTTAATATTCTTATTCCTTTCCTTTTAATGGTTGTATATTGAAATTAAGTTAAATCACCTTCTATTAAAGATTTGATTGAAGCTGTTTATTTGTGTGAGACGAGTGGTTATTTTGCCAGCGAATCCAACAAACCTTAAAACCAAAAGCAGACTTTTGGCAAAACAGCCCGTGCAAGGTGTGTCAGCCTGTGCTGGGCCCTGGGGACACAGAGATGGGTCAGACTTGGTCCCTGTCTTCAGGGAGCTCACAGCTTGGTGGAGGAGACACACCAGTAAAAACTGTTCGCAGTAACCTGTTATAAGTACCATGAGAGAAGTCTGTACAGGTACTATGGGAACACAGAAGTGACAAATCTTAAAAGGGAAGAGGGGCAGAAAAGGCTCAAGTGACTTCTAAGTTGTAAGAAAGAGAAAACCTGGCTCAAACACAATGAAAAGCAGTATCTTAGATCTCGTAACTAAGAAGTCTGGGGATAGACTTTAGGCACAGATTGATCCAGGAGCGGGCAGCATCTAAGGGTGAGTTAGCCACCCCCAGGAGGAAGGGTGTTCCAGGCAGAGAGAGCAGCATAGGCAAAGGCCTGGAGGTGAGAGGGATCAGGTGGGTATTGGAAGAACAGCAGATTTTCCTCCTACCCCTTTCTAGGGCAAACAGCCTGGCCTCACAGCCTCCTCCCACATTCCTTACTTCTACTCCTCTCTACTAGCCCTTGCCCGGAGCAGCCTGAAAATGAATGCGGAGGACCTCACCCATTTGACTGACTTGCCACTGCCTCTGCTTGATCCTCCCATTTGCCCCTCCGTATGCTCACCACCCTTCTCTACCCACCATGGGACTCCTTGCTCTTGAGCTTCCATCTGGGTTGGTACAAAGTCAGCAGTAGAAGACCATAGGGTGGGAGGGGAGGGAGTGGAGGGAAAGGAAGGGATTCATTTCCCAGCTCTGTCTCTGCTAGGTCAGCATGGGTTGGTTGCAGTCTCTACATGAAGTCACAGTCCCAGCCTGGCTGCCCTCCCTGGGCTCCAATAAACCCATCCCACCCTTGCCCTCCAAGCCTGGCAATGCTTTCCCTCCTCACTGTTGCTAGCCAGACATGCTGCACCATTCCTTGTCAGTTTCCTAAACCCTCCTTCATGCTCTCTTCAAAGTATCTAGTTTCAGGGTGCCATCTGTTTCCTGCCAGAACCCTGACTGACATGGGCCTGATTTGCAGTCAGAGGCTGGACTGGGGACATGCTATGCCTTGTGAGATGCTGGGTGCCTTCAAGGAGTTTTTGTTATTCAGCTCAGCTCAATTCCACCACACTCACCTCTCTCCAGCCCAACCCACGTGGGCCCAGGGCTGTTCTAAGCACTTTACAGGCATTATTTAATCATCACAGCAAATAACAAACCCACAAGGTTGTATTGCTGACTGTGTTCTGAGAAGAGGAAACCGGCTCAAATGAAGATTTGCCCAAGTTCATATAGTTAGTTAGAGGCAGATCCATGATTTGAACTCAAGTCTGGACTCCAAAGGCTGTACTTTAAACAGCACTTCTGTTGACTCCCACTCTGCCCTCCACACAGGAAGGTGAAAGGACCAAAGGAGACGGTGAGTGTGAAAGTGCCTTTGAGACCCTGAAGAGCCAGCACACCTGGTTGGCCTGAGAGCTGTGGTGTGTCCTGTTGCTCCCCAGGGCCAGGCTGAGTCTTTGACAGGCACTCAAGGAGGTCAGAGCTGGCAGAGGCCCCAGATATCAGACAGCCTCACCCCTTCCTGTGCTGAGGGAGAAACAGCCCCAGAGAAGACAAGTGGTCCCCCCAAGGTCCTACACTTGCAGTAGGAGCCAGAATTAGAATTTAGAATGTCTTCAGACACCCCATAAATCTATCAGGGAGAAGGATGTAGTGCTCCCCTTAGAGAGAAGTTTAGAAGAGAGAGAAGCGGGTGGGGATCAGGATTGGGGAAGCTGATGATTTCTGGACTACAGAGTTTCAGACCTGAGGGATGCAAGGGACTTCAGAGCCCATCTAGAAGGCTCCTCTGATAGCCACTCTGACAAGGAAGCTCTACTTGCTCACCTCCAAGATAAGAAGCCCATTCCCATGAGAGGCAGCCTGTCCCACACTCCCAGTGAGCAGAGATCTGGATCCTGTGACTCTCCCATCCCCAAGCCCGCTTGGTCCCAGGTCTTCTCTCTAGGACTCCACAGAACATGCCTGCTCCCTCTGCCCAGGTATGTGAGCCGTGCTCACGGCACATTTACTCCCCTCTTCTCGTTTCTCATTTCTGCTCAACTGTCAATCTCCTGTCTGCCCAAATCATATCTGTTTTCCAAGTCCTACTATAGAGGATACTTGTTGCTTCAGCCTGTACAGCCATTCAGACTACCTCTGATAGTAGCATCCAGATTTTCCTTAGGGAATCACCCCCCACCAGTTTTATGTGTGTGTATTTGTTTGTTTGTTTCTTTTAATTGAAGTATAATTGGCATGTAACATTATATTCGTTTCAGGTATACAACATAATGATTTGATATTTGTATACATTGTGGAATGATCACCACAATAAGTCTAGTTAACATCCATCCCCTTACACAGTTATAAAATTTTTTTTCTTTTTTTTTTTTTTGCCGTACGCGGGCCTCTCACTGTTGCGGCCCCTCCTGCTGCGGAGGACAGGCTCCGGATGCACAGGCCCAGCGGCCATGGCTCACGGGCCCAGCCGCTCCGTGGCATGTGGGATCTTCCCAGACCGGGGCACGAACCCACGTCCCCTGCATCGGCAGGCGGACTCTCAACCACTGCGCCACCAGGGAAGCTCTATGATGAGAATTTTTAAGATTTATTCTTTTTTTTTTTTGAAGGGAGGTTTCAGTTATTCAGTGTTTCCAGTTTTTCAATAAGGGATACAGATGGAAAAGCCAGGGCCTCTTTCCACAGAGTTTACAATCTGGGGAGAGAACAAGAGAGATATCACATAACAGAGGCAAATAATTCTAGGAGATAAATGTCCCTCAATGTGTTTTTCAAAATACAAGTTCTTGCACAAACGTGTAACTAAATACTGACTCCATGGTGCTTCAGTTATATCTGAAAGGGCTTTGAGAAAATAAGAAGTCCTGTTACTGGATAAAACTAGTGGTCCATCTCGCCTTTCCAGCAGCACTAAAGGAAGTTGTAGGGAGAGCAGAGGTTAACTGTCAAGATAGCTTTTAATTTGTAAATTTATCCAAAGTTTGAAAATATCATGGGGATTCTTAGGAGTCCCACTAGTCGGTGAATGGCCTACCTATATGTCCACTACATCTACAGACTACACACACACCCACTCAGATGATTCTCAGAATGGGGGTATATGAGAAGTTAATTCTCATG